AAAGCTGCCTGGACACTGCTGCTCAGCCTTCCAGTGGTAGCTTAGCCGCAGTGGCATCCCCCCCGTGCTGGGAGCTTGCAGCCTGGCAGGTTTGCTGGAGCACTGCTCGCTGATCTCTGGAAGGCCACAGCAGAGCAGCCCTGTGCTCTGCAAGTGCATGTCACCCACGCGGCTTAGCCACACAGGAGAAGGCAGCTCTGCCACACATGAGGGCACCAGAGTCCTGAGTCACTGTGGGTACCACTGTCTGCCTGCAGTGGTGCTGAGGCTGCTGTGCAGGTGCAGCCCTATGCCTAGAGACACAGCAGGGCTCTGAGGTTTCCCTGCTGGTCTGTAAGTGTGGCCACAGCATTTGCCCCGGGCCCAGTGCCAAGCCTCTGCACTCTGGTAAGAGAGTGGGCTGTCACTGCAGCCCTCTGCCAGCCTGGAACCGGTCGTGTTACACTGCAAGTGAGCACTTGGCTCCTGGCCAGCGGTGGCTGAGCTGCTCCCTCCACACACAGTTTCACTTGCAAACCCGGTTATCCTGGACTCCCTGGCAAGGCATCCTCCCTGCGTCCTTTCCCCAAAGCTGTGCCCAGCAGGGCAGTTCTAGGAGGCTGTAAATGGCAGGAGAAGACTCAGGGATTGCCTCTAGCCCTGCATGACATGCACTGGCAGCTCTGCCAGGCCAGCCTAACCCCAAGGGACTGGGAACAGTCTTGGTGGGGGTACCCAGCCCTCCCTTACTGGACCCTGGGCAAGATGTCCTCCATCAGGAGAGGTACAGCGTCTATATACACGTACACATGGAGCAAGACGCACCTGTAACATACTGGGCATGGCAGCTGACTCAGCAGAGCATCTGTCTCCCCATATCCCCCACCCCCGTCCCAGGACCAGTGCCTTTCCTCATGTCACATGCACACTGAAGCAACATCCCAATCCACAGTGCTGGCAAGCCTGGCTGCAGTTAACCACTGGGGTGGGGTTGTACCCTCTCAGTCTGAGCTGCACACAAGGCCACAGCTCTGCCAGGCCAGGATGGGCAGCAGGAGGTCCTAGCAGGCTGTCTAGTCCTCCTGCCCACCCCACGGCTTCTCAGAGGCTGGGGAGATTGCTCATCATGCTGGAGTTGCTGGAGAGGGGCGCCCTGGGCCGGGCATTCAGGACTACAGAGCTGCGGAAGCTCTCCCGGCAGCGCAAGGAGCTCTCTGTGGATGAGCCAGAGTTGATGTCTGTGATGACCACGCAGCTCCCGATCTTGGAAAGCCCCACCTGGACACAGCAGCAGCACAGCAGACTTCTCACAGCGCGGCGCACCTCCACGCTCCGGAGAGAGTAAATGATGGGATTAATGGCTGAGTTGGACATGGCCAGAGCCAAGGTCCAGTCCAGGCTGTGGAGGTATCTGCAGGTCTGGGTCTCACAGAAGGCATCAAAGAGCAACAGGGCAAAGAGGGGGCTCCAGCAAATGATGAAGGCACCCAGAATCAGCAGTACCGTCTTGAGCAAGCGCAGGGACCGTTTGCGGCTGTGCCGAGAACTGATTTGCTTGGAGCTGGCCTGGACCAGCTGATAGATGGAGATGTAGAGGCCAACGATCCCTAGAAGGATGATGCTGAACATGACCACAGAGAAGAGGATGTAGTTCTTGGAGTAGAGAGGTAGGAGGACAGAGCAGGCATTGAAGTCGCACAGACAGTTCCAGCCCAGCAGTGGAAGCAGTCCAATGACAAAGGCCAGCAGCCAGCAGGAGATGATGAGGCTGCGCAGGCGTAGGGTCTTGCTGGCCTCGTTCTCAGCAATCGGCCTTACCATGGCACTGTAGCGCTCGATGGCAGTCACCAGCAGGCTGAAGGTGGAGGCAGCCAGCGCGATGAAGAGGATACCTTCCCGTAGGAACCAGAGCTGAGGCGAGAGCTGGAAGGTCTTCTTGCCTGACAGGAAGATATTGGAGAGGTAGGCGACGCCTGCCAGCAGGTCGCTCACAGTGATGCTGGCAATGCAGGAATAGACCCAGCGGCGGGCTCGCAGGTGCCGCATGATGGCCAGCAGCACCAGAAGGTTCTCCAGGATGATGATGCAGCTGATGATGACAAAGGTTGTGCGGAGGGGGTTCATGCCCTCATCCTGGGACTGCCGGTTGGTCAGCTTCCCTGTAAAATTGTAGTGCTGCAGGATGATGTTCACATTCCTTGTGGCAGCCAGCTGCAGGCAGGCTCCCTTCCTGCTGGCCAAGGGCAGACCGAACGCACGGGTTTTTCCTCCTTTCGTGCTGACCAGGTCGACACTGAACTCAGGGTATCGAGCAGAGCTTGGGGGAAGGGGATGGGAGTGATTCACCAGCCAGCTCAGCCCCAGACCATCCATCTTCTGAGCCTGGGGCAGCAGCCAAGGGATGCACGATGGAGCAAGGCTGAGGTGGGGTTTGGAGCAGAGCAGCCCCTCTGACTGAGGTTGGAGGCAGCTAAGGGACTCTGTCACACAGAGGGGACCGGCTCCGAGCCCAGAAGCCCTGCCTGCTGTGGAGATGAGAGTCAGAGCCCCATCTGCCAACCCTGCAGCACTGAAAGAGCAAGGGGAGGGGAGGGTTAGGTGTTTTGTAAGTCCACGCGTGAGCATGAGCTTCCTGTTGTTTATAAAGTTTCCTGTTGTGAACTAGAGTATTGACAGGGTTTCTGACGGCTGTTATCATTTCTCAGTAAGGATCTGGCTATTCTCAGCTTTCCTGCGGTTGTGAAGATGGTACATGAATGAGGCAACATGTCAGGCCCCTCTTCGAGCTGGGACAGGCTGGGTGGAATGGGGTAACACCTCCCCGCTTGCTGGGTAGGGTCTGCTGGGCTGAGCAAGGCTAAGTGCTTGCAGGAGCCCTGAGACAGCCTGAGGCACTGAGTGCTTTGCCCTTTGTGGTGTTAAATTCATCCTTGAGCCTTGCAGAGAGCAACTGTCCCTTCATCTGCTGCCCTGTGCACTACCCATACACCTTCTCCAGGAGGAAGCTCCTGACTCTGACCCCTCTGGGCTCCTGCATGGGCCCAGCTCCAACCTGTCTCTTGGGACATGTCCATCCAAGTCCTGCCCCACCAATGCAGCAAGTCTGGGCACCTGCATGTCTGAAGTCATGGCTCAGTTCCACCCCCTTTGCAGGAAACCAGCTGCGCAGATCCCTGTATGTGCCCTGACACTCCCCCCTCCGTCTCCAGACACCTGCTGGAGTTGGGTCATAGTCTTCCCATTGCTTAGATCACAGGCAGGGAAATGGAGGCACAAAGCTGATGATCTTGCCTGGCCTTGCAGAAGAGGCAAGGGGCTGCACTGGGACCACAATCCATGACCGCAATGTTAATATCCATCATCGATCTGCTCCCTGTGCCTGCAAAGCCTGCCTGGAGAGGAGTCCTTGCAACATGCTATTCCCATCCTGGCTGTTGAATTTGCCTTGTGACTCACCTGCCATGGCCAGCGTGAGGCTCTTGTGCAGGAGGAAGGCTCAGCAGGTAGCAGTGCTCTCCAGTTGCTTGTTTTGAGGTCCAGTGCAGAGTAGGTAGTGGGGAGGGCTCCTTGTGCCAAGTGAGATTTCTACCTACCGAAGTGAAAAAAGGGAAGTTACAACATCAACCACATTTCTTTGCAAAATGGACCCCACCCAAAGCAGCTGCAAAAGGGCATCAAGAAAAGAAAGAGCAAGCACCTTTTAACTCAGGGTCACAGCAGATGCTGTCCCAAGCTTTCTACTTTCACCTGTGCTCTCACTCCACACTGGCACAAAGTCCTGGAAAGGCCCCCAGGCTCGCAGCAAAGAGCGGATTTCTCCTGTTGGCACAGTAAGCAGGGAGTCATCCTGGGAGTCACCCGCTGCTTGTCGGATGGAGGGATCCAAGAAACAGACAAGTGGAACGGACAAGTGGAAAATGCAAAAGGGGTCCCTGCTGCAGGAGGAAACGTGCAAGCAAAACAGTTCCTGTCAAAAGCTCCATCTTCCCCATTCCACTCTCTCAAGAGGTGTTTTGGGCTCTTCTATCAGCAGAGTGGAAAGAAACTCATGCTGATAAAGTCAGTAGATAACCCCAAGATTGTAGGAGCAGAAATCAGCAGGGAGACCGGGCCATGAGCATGGTGCAGTCCAGAGCAGAGGAGTGCAAGGTCACACATTTAGCATGAAGCTCCTGGCTGGGCTGGACGCTGCAGCACAGCATGGGAAGCGACAGGGCCAAAGCGATTCCTGCACGTCGTCCCTGGTTTAGTCCAGGCTGGGCCTCCAGCTAATGAATGCTCTGGAAGGCAGAGGACAGAATTGGTGGGGAGTCCCTAAAAAGACCAAAAGATGAGAAAACTTGCTTTGCCCAGAAGCCCTAAGTAGCTGCTCAGAAAGCTGGCGGCATGTGAGTGGCCGCAGAGGGGAGAAACCTGGCAGGAGAAGGATCCGTGTCAGGGAGGGCTAAGCAGAGTGCAGGGCAGGTAGCAGGCAAAGGCTTCAGCTGTCGGGTGGGTGCTGGCACCGCTCAGTGCACTTGCCCACGGTGCCAGAGCCACGGGGCTGCCAGCATACTGCAGGCTCTGCCCAAAGCCCCTTCCACAGGTGCATCAGATGCTGCCGAAAACTGGTGCTGTTCATTGTACGAAGAACTCCTCCAGCGAGCCACAGCCTTGCTCCTTGCCCTGTCCTAGCCCCTGCCTCTGCAGCCGCTGCGGGAGGCAGGCAGCAGGCAGCCCAGGTTTGCACAGCCTCCCACACCATCCCCTCTGCGGACGGGTCCCGTGTCCAGCACGGGCGCAGCCGCGGCAGAGGCTTCCCTCAGCTGGCACTGCTGCAGGCAGGGCAGCGAAGCGGGTTCCTGCTGTCACGCAGCAGCATCCAGCGCTATCTCCCTAGACGCAGCCTGCACTTTATCTTGGTACTTCTCCTTTGCTGTCATTTCAGTTCAGATGTTCTTTCTGTGAAAGGAAGGGGGTGGCGGGGGGCCCTGTCCTGCAACATCTCATCTCTTTCCTTCAGATCAAGACCACAATCTGCTAGAAACGGGCTGATAGCTGCTGAGAGCCTGGTTGGGAAGCACCGGGGGCAGCTGCAGTCCCACCAGCGGCACGGGCACGGCTAGTGCTCCCGGCACTGTACCAGCAGCCACTGGCAGCGCCAAGGCGAAGGGGGTGGCCAGGGAAACGGTTCTGCTCCCTGCTGGCCCATGGCCCCACGGCTGTGTCCACGGCCCAAGTCTTCCCGAGCATCTTCCAAACCCCTGGGCTTGGTCCAGGCTCCGGGTCATGGCTCCAAAGGGCTTTGGGGAGACGCGGCACTGATGAACTGTCCCTCCCACTCTGTGCCCAGCGGGGCACTGTCCTGACATGACCCTGGGTCTGATAACACCAAAGAGCTTTGGAGGAAAGGCTGTGCAGTAAAGCAGCCCACAGGTTCATTCGGCCCAGCATCCTGCTCGGCGCACATGAGCTTAGGGAGCAACATAGGCATCAGGCCAGGGACAGAGCACCCCTTTCCCTGCTCAAACTCTGCCAGTGTCAGGCAGCCAGCGGAGTTTGTGTCTGGAGCGTTGCAATTAATAGTCATCAATTGATTTATCCTTCACAAAACCTCCCTAATTCCTGTCTGAACCCATTTATATGTTTGGCATCTGGGTTATACCCAGGGCCAGGTTCAGCCTATTAACTCAAATGCAAGCTATTTGTGTACCCAGCACACGTCAGAGGTAGTTTTATTTACAAATAATTTTTAAAAGCTGGGCTTTCTACCTTATTAATTTTTGCCCGACCTAAACTTCATGCGACAAAGAAAGAGATCATGGAAAAGAGATGAAAATGCATTTTAACAGGGAAGCGTCAGGGTGCAAAACAGAAGAAGTTGCATTAAATGGAGGCAAACAGCATGCCACGTTACTGCAAAGACATCATGATGGAGTGACTGAACTCTGAGAGGCCAAGGGGGAAAGAGAGCAAACTACAAATGCAAGATAAAATATCAACAATTTCAGTTGAGGTTTTCCTGCTGTGCTGCTACACGGTCCTAATTAAAACTTGTGTTTTCAGACATTCTGATTAAAAAAGCCAGTCCTGTGTGAAGCTCTGGGGAGAGCTCTGCCCTGTGGGCCTGGCAGCCCTGGAGCATGTCCTGGAGGCCCCCAGGCCGGTGTGCGGGCATCCCTGTCCCACTGGGCTCCCCACCTCGCGCTGCCTGCCTGGCCCCCGCACCGCCCAGGCACCCGGAGCAGGCAGGTGTTTTTCTGCTCCAGGAAGGGTGGAGTTGTGCTGGTTTAGAAATGACAGGTCACGTCTGTCGGTTGTGTTTCCTTGCTTGGGTGGCCCCTGCTGTGCAATGGTGGGTGTCACCCTTCCAGTGGTGTGTCCTGGTCCCCGGGGGAGCAGGATGCTCCTAGCCCTGAGGAGCTGGGACAAGCCGGCGAAGCCAAGCTGACACCAAGCCCGTGAGACTGGGTCACTTGTAACACTCGGAGCAGCGTCCCGGCACAGTTGATTCATCAAAACCAGGGGCATCTCTGTGGGAAACAGCCACTGCAGTGAATGTCTGGATTTGGAGGAAGACAACAACAGAAAAGTTTCAGGATCATCTCCTTTTGACCATGTTAATGACCTTAAATGGCAAAGTGTTGTTGATTGTGGCTTTTCAATAGAAACTTTGCATTTGCTTAATGCAAACTATTAAGCACACCAAGCGGAAACCAAACAGCTGCATAAAGTGCTGCCCTCAAAAAAAAGAGAGTTACTTGGAAGACATCCTGACAAAACACATCAGTGGGGGGGCTCAGACCCTGTCCCCCGGTGGTGAAACACCTTTTCCTCCTTCGCGACAGATCTGAGGTTTGACCTTTTGGCTGAACCCGTCGCTGGACGGGGGCTTCAGCGGCCCTGCTTCC